TAAAAATAAAGAATTTACATTTTTTATGACAATTAGATTCTGTTGGTTGGTTTGATAAATAATGATCTGGTCGTCAGTAAAACAGTATTTCCTTTCGCTCGTGAAACGTTCGTTCGGTTTGACAATAAATTTGCGCTGACAATGAGTCAGGCCGTGTAAATGCACCGGTACAACCGGTACATCCTAGTTCTCCGGTGTCAAAAGGTAAGAGACCGTTTGGAACGTTACAGATACTACTCCGTGGAGCAGAGGCAAAATGATCCGAGCGAGGAGTACGGCCAGGACTCGGAAATGGAATCGGATCCCTCCGTGACTTGGAGACCACGGAGAGCGCAGGGAAGAGAATATTTCATCGAAATCATGGTGGCGGCCGACGCCGAGATGATGAGGTACCACGGCGAGCATCTGTCTAGCTACATTTTGGGCCTGATGAACACGGTAAGAACTTTCTCTGTCGTCTAATGTAAAATCGATCACAAATACGCTTAACAAACCCAATAGCACTCAATATTGCAGCAACGTTGCAAAAATATTCTACTGCAAGATCGGAATATTTCAAACAATGTTGCTGCAAAATTGTCACAAATGAATTTCTGGAATTTCTTTTCATATTCTATAATTCCGTTATAATTGTAATTACGATTATGATCTTCTTTATGATTAATTATATTATATTTTCCCACTAATGTCGATATAACAATTACATAAAAATCGTGAGGAAATTACGATTATGATCTTCTTTATGATTAATTATATTATATTTTCCCACTAATGTCGATATAACAATTACATAAAAATCGTGAGGAACGTTACTGTAACCTTACACTGCAACGTCTAAATGCACTGTTGTTGCAATATGACAATAATGAAGATACATTGTTACAATATTGAGAGTTATTGAGGGGGCAAACTCCCGTAACAGCGTGATGAGACTAAATGTCTACGTTAACGTTTTTATTTTCCAATCGGAACAAACCTCGTTCTAAGCTTTCGTTTGGAATAAAAACGACGGGACACCCTGTACATATCCGAGTTTTGCTTTGAGAAAAATAAAGAGAATCGAAGAAAAAGGTAGAATCGGCTGTGTCCGGGACAAAGTAAAATATTTGTATCCTGCGAAACACGGTACACGGGGCAACCTACATATTTATTACACGGCATAGGGCTGGCACTCGTTTCAAAACGAAAGGAAAAGAATAGAGGTGAACGGTCGGCGTGGGTGCATCACTTTGTTCGGGGTCCAGCACGAGAAAAAAGTGGATAGAAAAAAGGGGCAGGATTAAAAGAGGCTGAGGATGCACGAACACACATCGGCGGCCGTGTTCGTGGGATGATCGATCTTGTAAGCCAGCAGGATCTGTCGCGAGCGTTAAATATTATGCTAATGCGATCGCCGCGTTCCTAGCTCATTTCGGATGTCGAAAGGGTAGCGGGTACCGCTTGTGATCATCAGTCATCAGCCGCGGCAACTGTTTCTCCCGACTAATTCAATTATCAGTAGAAAAATCTGCTGACTCGTCTCGGCCATCGGCGTTCCTCTTAAATTATTCATTTGTCCTATTTACTAGCCTTCGTGTTCGACCAACAGAATCTTTCGGAATGTCTGTAATAGTTATTAAATATGTAAATGATTACGCGGTGGACGTGAAAATTCCATTTCGAAATAAATGCATTATTAATCGTATCGTATCGATATAATTTATCGATAGGTTTCAAACTGTCTCTGTACGACAAACATATTCGCTATTCAATCATTTTCGCTTTCAATAACCCGATCATTAATTCTGCCGAATTTATGAGCGTAGCCTCGAGCAGCCTTAAACCTGGCGAGAGTCTAGTCAGTTTCGTTATCGCGAGGAGAGAAACTCGCGTGGGTTGGTTTCGCAAGCGTACCGTCGTTAGTCACCATTAATTAGCTCGTTTCAATCAAATATTCTAAGAATTTGCATGGCTCAGTAGGGCTCGCGTTGAGAGGAATACTGTCTATTGAACCGCGCTTTTCCACCGCGGACGATAGCGCAACGACGGACATTTAGAAGCCGTGTACGTGCGTACGTACATCTCGGGGACATAAATTTTCGTGAGCGAGTATACCACGGCCCGCGGCGTACGATTCATCGTCGGGAGAATAGAAAGTACAAGTTGCACCTTGAGGAGTGTAAATCCCGATACGATCTGCCGGTCGAGAGCTACCTATCTGACTTTAACGCGATGTTGACATTTTATCTCCGACAGAGCTTAAGCTTCGAGACCTTCTTGTTATTCAATTGTATGTAAAAAAAAAAAACCCGGAGGAACGTGAAAAAAATAATTAGAATTTATTATAAGAAATGAATTCGCGAAATATTTAAACAGCAATAATATTAATCGTTCTGACGATCTACACAATGATGTCCATAATCATGAAACGAGTCATGTTCGTCCGATCTCGTGCACTTTTCGTCCGAACGCTACTAATGGAACGGTCCGGCCTGGGTGAAACGAATCACCTTTCCCTCCCCTGGTTCGCTAGGCGCCGCTTACGAACTCGCATAAATTAGTCAGTGGTTCGAGGGAGAAAAATGTAACAGGCTAGCGCGGGAGCGACTCGCCACGGCACATCCCACGTGACACGCTATTTTCAAGTTTCTGCACTGTCGATTATTATATAATCAGTCGACCTATTACTGTCCCAGTTAAAACGAATCTTTTACCGAAGTCACCGTTCCGATACGAATTTCCTCTTTGTCGGGAGCCGATTGAATGCAAATCAGCTGGGCTGGCCCCCATTTCCGCGTTTATCTATACAATCATTCCGATTCAGTTGCTCCTTTTTTATTTGTCCTTTTCGTATAACCTGATTTTATTCTCGGAACTGCCACGAGTGTTCCATCAACGAGCAACACAGTAAAAGATCGTAAGGCCTTGAATTATAGTAGTGATCGTTTCAACAGTTTCCGTGTCGTTCCGTAAGAGGATCCATGTGGTCCGGTAGGGAAACTGAGAATACAGATAGAGTGCGGGGGTTAGTCGATCGAGTTTCGTCGATAAATAGACAATTCATGTAATACGCCGGTTAGGCCTCGCGATCGTCGACCGGTCGTCATTAACGTCGAGCCGCGTGTATCCCACGCGGACCACACCTCGGAGATGAGGGCAACATCCTACGGAGCGTCCGGGGCTCGGGACTCACTTTCACGTGCCCACGCCCGTCATTCATACGACGCGACGATTCAATCAGCCAAATCGTCTCCCATCGAATCCCTCACCCTCTCGCCGAACCTGTCGATGATCACCGTTTCTGTTCGCGAATCGATGAAATATAATTTGACATCGCGTCAAACGACGAGTTTGACAAGCTGACCACCCGGTCATCCTTCCACCTTCTATGGACCCGATTCGCTCCTTATTAGTCATTCTAAACATTGTGCAAAGCAGTTAAACTAAAAAGCATAAAAAATAGTCGATGGAATAAAGGAAAATTTCTATGATATTTTTATTAATTTTTTAATGTCGTAACGTTGGAAACGTTCTATTAATTCTTATTGACGTATTAATATTTACTAATATCTGTGAATTTCATTTACGCAAATCATCTGGGCAAAAGATTCTGTTGAACTTTCGATCTACCTCCGTGTTTCATTCGTACTTACATTTTTATTCTTGTTGCCGTGGCAGCGAACAGGTCGAACGAATACGCAAAACAGTGTTAAGTAACCCGTGGAAAACGCATTCTAAAAGTGAAAACAGCTTAATCGTTTCCCGTGTTGCTTCACTCTCAAGCTTGGAAACCATTAAAACTTTTATAGCCCCGAGTTTTGTTACGACCGATAAGATTGGCCGTACAACATCCGCGAGTCTCGCGTATCAAATCTTACGTTCACCACGTACAGTTTCCGATAAAACTGTGACGAGTTCGACGTAACAATTAACTCGAAGAGAATTGCATTTCACGAGGTACTTAGACGAAGACGCTCAATGGTTGTCTAATAAAATTATCGTCAGGGTGTCTCAGTTCGATGTGTATTTCATTCAACGAGGTGCAAAAACAAGATTGACTGAACATTAGAACTACCAATGATTGACGGTATATTCTACCTAATGATGATTATAAAAAATGCGAAACATGTTATTTTTTACCCCCTTGGTAAATCTAGTATTAACTTTTTTCTTAACGCATCTCCAGTATTGGTTTTCATATCGTTCTTATTAGGGCTTAGAATTTTGCCTGATACTGTATATCCAACGATTGACCGAGTTGTAAACAATTTTATGCCCGATGCTGTGTCTCAATCCCAACGCGCGTTATCTCAGAACAGGGTAATAATAGTAACACGTTCTGATAGCCGTGTGAACAAGCTAATTGAAACATATAGATTTTCGAATTAAATAACGCGATTGTGGAATTCTAAAGCGCGAAGAAATTGCGTTCGCTGATGATAACCGGGCCAGACGGGGCATCGCGATTCTTCAGTAGTATAAATCTCCATTGTTCAGACTGACGTTACGAAAGTCTATGTTACGATTTCATCTTTTAAATTCAGATTATTCTTTGTAATTTTGTTTAACACTAGATGTACTAATGACTCGTTTGCCATTTCTTATAATCATTATTCATTTTTGTTTTCTAAAATTTTGTACGACTTTTTCTCAATCGTCGGTACTCAATCGTAATCAACGTGTCAATTGTGTCGATATTATTTGCAGTACTTGTGTTTTATGAACGCGAAGGTACAATATGAAACGTGGGCAACAGGAAGAGCTGTCAGCCGATAAATATGAATTTTTGCCGCCCGGCTAACCCATTTGCCCATACAAGCCCATTGCAGTGTGGGACACCGGATGAACGGCTCACGGCTGACCACCTTCGACGTGGAAACGAAAAACTTGCCTCCTCGCTGACATTGCGATCTCCCGGTGACACGATTCGATTGCCGCGTTTCTCGGTCGGTCCCTTCTCTAACCGGTCCAACGAGACGCTCTTCTTTTTCAATCTCTTATCCTGCCTTATATCCAATTCTCTCCGTTGATCTTGATCCGAGAATCGATCCGAAGATCGTAAAGCAAGGGACAATGTTGTGTCACGGAAGTCGAGTACTGCCGATCAACAGGCGACCGGAATTAATTGAAATATTCAGGACGCTTGGAACAGTTCTGAAGGCGATTCTCAGTGAACGAAAACGTTTTTATAATCTACAGAAATAGAAAAATAATCCTGATTCTGTAATTAGAGTTACAAGCATTTATGTGCAACATTGCAGCAACTCGTTGCAGTAGAATAATTTCTTTAATGAATTTTTATCATTGTCAATGGATAACGATCGACTTATCGCGATTAGAACAGCAACACCTGCTCGGACCGATTCAAAGTCCAGCCAGAGCCGTTCACCGGCGTCCATGGCCTATCGGAAGAGACAATTTCGAAACTCGGTAAAAGAACTTGAGAGCCACATTGCTCGTTGAAACTCGTTTAATCGACCCATTACGAGCGGGTAAGTGATTACGCGCGAATCTCTCGTAATCGACTCTGTTCCAGGGTGAATCGTTTTGGCGAAAGAGTAACCGAGTAACACATCAGCGTCTGAATTGCTCCAATTGAACGGGCGACGGGCTCCTCCCCTCGTTCCATTCGTTTCATCTAATAAAGTTTGAGACGACTCGCGGTTAATCGCTCGAATGAAGATTTTCTGCGGAGGCTGATTCTCGTTTGATTCTCGCGTTTACGTCTAATGAATCATTGCGGAGTCCGCCGTGGCAGCTGAACCTTTCGAGGGATCCGTTCGAATCCCTTCGGTCAATTGCTGGAATGAGTTTCGTGAAAATTGTTTCCTTTTTTAGATTGAATTTTCTAGATCCGTTATTTTTTTCTAACGGGAAATCGACACGATCGAAAACGGGTAGAGAATCATTGTCCCAGGTTGCGTATATCTTCAGTTGTTCGTTCGATAAAAGATAAAAGAGATGAGGCGGCGAGTATAAACGACGTGTAATTAAAAAGCAAGAATGGAAACGCGTTTGACCGACGCAATCTAAAAGCATCATCCGTCCCACGGATTCGTTCCACGGAGATTGGCGCCTGGCCCCTCGTATATGAGCCACGCCACTAATTAAGAGTCGACTCTGTCCCGCATTATTTATGCACAATTACGATCCTCGTCTTACTCATGCCTCGTCTTCCATACGTATATTTTCTTCGCCGGCCGGAACCTCGCCCTTGCGATCCGATCGGGTTCCAGTTTAGAAAAATCGGTTCTCGATGGTTATTAAGAGACGAGGATATTGCTCTGAACAAATGAACCTTTTAAGCCCGGCTTGTTAAGATAGTTTACAGCCTGCGTGATTTACGTTAGCGTTTTAATGAACCTTAGTTTAATGAAAGAATACTTAGTTCAGTTTTTCTGTTTGACTTTCAATTATCCTTATAGTTCGTTATAAATCATTTATAGTAGTAAATAGATTTATTTTGTCTTTCTGCATTAAAATGGGGGTTACAAGTGTCTGTGTGTCAGTGTGTGTACAGAGTGGGCCGAAAATCGTAGTACAACCGGGCAGGGAGTGATTCTACGTTAAAAAAGAAGAAAATATTTTAGTATAACATTTTTTTCGGAGCTCCGTTTCTGTAAAAATCGACTTCATATCCTATTTTTCAATATTATCTTTATTTTTCTTTCTTTCTTTCCTTCTAGGACTTTCCGCATCCACGTTGTGCCATTTCTGTCTCCTTTCAATATTCCTCTCGCTTCTTTGTTTATTCTTTGCATTCTCTTATCATCTGGCTTAAAGTCTCTGGCTTCTCCTTATGACTCTTTCATTCTCCTTAATCCAATACTTATTATTCAGTTCCTGATTCCCACATCTAAGTCATTCGTATTATTATACAGGGCAAGTACACAGGAATAATCGACAATATAGGATTTATTATTTGATTAATCTGTTTTAACTGACACTCGTTTTTAACAAAGATACTGCATTGTGCATTACACCTGCTGCATCGTTGATCGCATTATCCTATTGTCGCGTCCATGAAAGAAATAATATGTTACAGGTGTCGCGGCTCTATAAAGAACCGTCGATTGGAAACGCTATCAACATCTCGGTGGTGAAAATTATAAGAGTCGACGCGATGTTCGGCACCAGGCGCAACACGAGCTCCGGAATCGCGGCGTCTGATATGTTGAGTAACTTCTGTCGTTGGCAGAAAGCGCAAAATCTGAGCGAACTCAGACACGAACGTTACGACACTGCTCTTCTCTTAACCAGGTAGGTACTGGTCGCTCAAAAAATGTTTAGAAAAAATAAATAAAGAAAATGCTGTACCCACCGAAGAATAAGATCGGATTAAATTAGTGTCACCACGTTCTCTTCTTGTTAAAAGAGGATGTCCGAAGAAAAGTCGACGACCCTAAGCTAAATGATTTAAACGAATGACTATCTTGTGTAGAGTGTTTTCAGGAAACTTGAATAATTTAGGAACGATATTTCCAGGGAAGATCTGTGTTACAATGCCGATGAAAAGTATTGCGACACTCTGGGATTGGCCGAATTGGGACGAATGTGTGACCCGAGATCATCCTGCGCCATCGTTCAGGACAATGGCCTGGCTGCCGTTTTCACGATCGCTCACGAAATCGGACACGTGTCAGTAAATTTATTATTAATCCATTTTATATGGGAAATTAAAAAATAATTGTGAATTAATAATACGTCGTTTAGATTAAATCTGGGGTTTGGGATTTATTTTTGAATTTCAGATTGAACATGCCTCATGACGATGACGAGACGAAATGCGCATCCTCAAATAGTTCCAAACTGCACAACATTATGTCCAGGATGCTGGACACATCTCCGTGGGAATGGTCAAAATGTTCCCGGGACTACGTCACCGAATTTCTCGAGTGAGTCAATCGTAAATTTATAATAATGTTCGTCAGGTAATTTTTAATTTCGGAAAAATCGAAATTTTTTTTTTTTACAGATCCGGACACGGACACTGTCTGCTGGACGAACCGACGAAACCCTTAGAACCGCAAGACCCGACGAGATTCTTGGGCGAATATTACTCGGTAGACAGACAGTGCGAACTGGTGTACGGAAGAGGGTGGAGAAGGTGCCCTATGATCAAAACGGAACATGGTAAGTCACACATTTTTGAACAGAACTACGGATCCCCAAACTGCTGTTGCAAAGTAGATATATCTCAAATATTTATAACTATAAACTTGTCCTTCGACTTAAGGTAAGATCTCCGCCAAAAGTTTAAGACGTAATAAAAAGCTGTGTCCAATATTCAAAGCAATGAATTTTTATGTTTAATTTATTGATACCATAATTTTCTTCGAGTATCTTTCTAATTGCATATTATTTTTTTACAAACGCCGTATACCACCCCCTTGATAGTATAGTGAGTAGTACGCAGTGAATATACTTAAGAATTGAGATAAACTGAGCGGTTGGTTGGTTATCGGCCAGGCAGTGTGCAATAAACTGTGGTGCAGTACAATGACCCTGGAAGGCCTCGGTCAATGTCGTGATCCGCACATGCCGTGGGCCGACGGGACGTATTGCGGCGAGAACAAATGGTGTCAACGGGGCGAGTGCGTACCCCGCAAGAGGCTCAGGCCGATCGACGGCCAGTGGGGCGAATGGGGTCCGTACGGGAAATGCAGCAGGACTTGCGGCGGTGGTATCAAGAAGAAGTACCGCGAATGCAACAGCCCGTCGCCGCAGAACTACGGGAAGTATTGCGTCGGGGATCGGTTCAAGTATAAAAGTTGCGGAACCAGGGAGTGTCCGCCGGGAAGCCGCGACTTCAGGTATTTAGTTACAATTAGTATTTGCCATGATCAGTTCTCCATTTTCAAGGACAATTTTATAACGGCACAGTAGAATCTCGATCATCGTCAATCATCATCATCAACATTTTTGATGATAGAACCTTGGCACGTCGGGTCGCATGGACGTTTATATTATTTTTTAGAACAGAATCAAACACAATCTTTTTTGGCACGCAGGGTAGATTCTGTTCAATTATATATTGGCCATTTTTATCGATCACCTCTTAATAACAAAAGTTCATCTTCCCTCGACACAAATAAAGAAAGAGATAAATTAGAAATAAGAGCTCTCTGTTGAAATCATCGATACGATTATCACGTGTATGCCCTGTAGAGAAGTACAGTGTTCGAGCTACAATAACAAGAATCTGAACTTGTCGGGCGCGCCTACGAACGCGAAATGGTACCCTACGTACAAGCAAAGTGAGTAATAGGATTTCGATCGTCTGCCCATTTATCGGGTGTGTTAAATGATATTGTTGTTAACAGTTGCGCCACACGAGCGTTGTAAATTGATCTGCCACGTGCACATCAATCAGTCTTTCACGCTGAAGGAGAAGGTGATCGACGGAACGCCGTGCGGCAAGGACACGTTTCACATATGCGTGAACGGCCAGTGCAAGCCAGCGGGATGCGATCATATTTTGAACTCGACGGCGGAAAAGGATATCTGCGGCGTGTGCAAGGGTGACAATTCCACCTGCGAGTGGGTCACCGGCACCTACAACTCCACGGCGGGTGGATACAGGACGGTAACCACGATCCCTGCGGGTAGCAGGAATATTGACATCAAGCAGTACGGTTGGATGAACATGGAAGATGATCAGAATTATCTCGGTGAGTTAAACCGTTCTTCTGTTGACAATATCTGATTAAACGTAACATTTGCGATGGGAGCAATTTTAAATTCGTTAAAAAGTTATTAAAAAATAGTAATATTTCGGACCAACTATATTTATCGCTTTGTAATCCATTCATGCTAAATCTGACGTTTGGGGAAGTCAATTGC